TCTACTCAGGTCCCTTCTGACTCTAGAAACTATGAAACTATGTGTCCTTGCCTGACCAGGCAGTGCCAACACTGGTCCGACAGAAATAACAACAGCAACAGGCTGTTCTGGTCCTGGAACTTCAATGGGACTTGGAGTCTACAACACGTTTCCATAACAAATTGGTTAGACGCATTATTGATCTGGAAGATGACTAAAACTTCCAAGTATCCAATACTTGCAAAGACTCCCTGGCCACTGTTGGAAATATATATTAAAAGGCCTGAATGCTGCAAACTCTTATTAAAGGACTTTCACTTAGAGGCCTAGACATTTTGATTGGTTGACCTGATCTCAAATCTTCTCATTATGTGAACGAAAACCTCTGGGGTACCTTTGGGGTAGATTTAAGACTCCAGAGAACCTACACAAGACCTGAATTTCAAAGAGGCCTGAGCATCCAATGCTCCCAACTGAATCCCACTGGCATTGGAGGTGTCAGGCATTCTCAAAAGTCAGAGCTGAATCTCTATGTACCTTGATCCTCCATTGCAAAATGGGAATTATGCATCTCTCTACAGAAAGATCATGTCATTGATATCTGAATTATTTTTTAAGCAAGCTAGTTGAATTTTTTTGTAGAACCAGAGTGTTTCATCATGTGGTATATTTTGCTTAACTCACTTTCTGTCTGCAGAACTGTTCCCTACATTACGTTTTCAGCCGCCTTTAGCCAAAGCAGCAGTGTAGCCCTAATTGTAACACCAATAATTGAACTCGCAGACAAACAGATTCCAGTTGCATTTCAAAAGTATTAAAATTTCTGCACATTACAATCTTCTATTTAAAATTGGACTTTTACGAACAGGGGGTTAGTGCTACATCTCAAACACTGCTCAGAAGACTGTTCTACGGTTGTCATAGCAACAAGTGGAGCCCTGTCATTTTGCTATGTCATTATTCATAATAAATCCAAAGGTCTGGGAAACTGGGAGCAAGATTACAGCTGCTTTTCCTGCCCTTACAAAGCGTTTCACTGTGGATTCATTTTGCAAATCCTAAGACGTTCCTATGGAAACGTGGGGAATACCTAATATCAGTGCAATATGTCACCAGATTTTATTTTATTTTTTAACAAGTAGGCAGGTTTTCTGTGGATCTTTTGTCAAGACAGTGCTGGAAATAACACCATGTATTACCAGATAGAAATAGAAGAAATAGGAAATAAGCTTGTGATCCTGACTGCAAAACAGCTAGGAAAATGTATTGCTTTCTTTGGAGGTAATCCTTATTTGCACTGGTGTCAAGCAAGAACACAGTCAGATCCTTTTCTCTTTAGCAGATGAGGACAGGGTGAGCAAAGAAGCCTTCTTGCTGTGTTAATAAAATCATTCCAGCTACTTCTGGGAGGAGTCTGACAACTATTCATCTGTTAAATTAAATTTTGGATTATGCAACTAAATGTTAACCATAAAAAACTGAAATATTTTATCTTTACCTATGAAAAGGAACAGTTTAGATATCAAAAAGATAAACAGGGTAGTGCTCTTTCTGTTATCCAGGCAAGTACTGTTTCCTCTGGCAACACTCAGTGGGATCACAGGATTTTGGTTCAAATGTGAGATTTAATATTTATTTAACCTTTCTGAACAGTTGGGGAACTCTGTAGTATGTATGTGTAGCTAGGATTTTATTTTCCTTGTTAAGTATTTTTAAATATAAGAATTTTGCCTCTTTGTGAGGGCACCTCTAATTTGTCTATCTTTGTTCTTTTGTTCACCTGAAAAAAAATAAATCTTGTCTTTTTTTGTTTTATCTGCTTTGGAGTTCTATTTCTGAGACCTTCATGTGCACAGTGGCTACAGTGGTATTGTAGTGAAAGCCCCTCTGGGCAAACATGAATGGACATAGCTTCATTCATAGTCTGTCATCACCAGTCCTAATTTTCTTGGAAGGTACTAGGAAGTATTTCTTGAGTCATTCGATATTCTCTTTCTCCAGGGCACAAAACTTTTCCTGCAGGGAAGAACTCCTATCTATGCTATTTTGCAACATATTCCATTGCAAACAGAATGCTGAATCAGCCCTTAAAAAGTAGTCTGTTAGCAAATGCATCAAAGCAGTTCCAAAATACATTATGTATGTTGTCATTCTCAGCAGTACTGAACTATAACATGCAAGAACCTTCCACAGTTTCTTTCCTAAATCTGCCCTCAAGTTACTGCCTCAATATAGAAAGGAAGAGGTAGTAAATAAAAAACTTGATCTAATTATTCAACACACAAATTATAATGAAAGCACAGGCCCTCACAGCCATTAATAAATATAAATTTAATGTGACAGCAATACACTATTTATGTACCTGTTTTCAGAGAGCTGCAGTGCCTAACAAGTAAAACTAAACAGCTAAAAAATGTATAGCCTTTTTTACTCGTTCTCTGTCAATATATTTCCCATCTCTTACGTTTTTAGAAATAGATCTCATACACCATGGGCCTTTCCATCCTATTGTTTTTAAGCAGAACCCTCACCACAGTTTACAATGGAGAATTCTGCTTGAAAATGATTGTATTATAAGGCCCGTTGACAGATTGTTACCAGAACATGCTGATGAGAAGAAACCTGAGTTTGCAAGACTTTAATGGGAATCACAAATCCATCTCTTGGGGTAACTTAGGCATACGGGCTGCTTACAGACGTAAAATGAAAAAGGTACTTTACTTTAAACTCTGTATGCCCCTGCATCGAGCCCAGCAGATGCCCAGAAGAGGCATCATGTTAGTTGGACCTGACTCACCCAATGTCAGATTGGGCACTTTAGTGATGCATTTTTATCAAATAGCCAACTGAATCAGCTATTAGATAAAAGCACCAAAAAGCCCACCTGATCTATACAGATGCTGTGGAGCTGGGTCAAATTAACGTGCTGCTTCTTCCGGTAAAGCACTTTTTCCTTCCCCCTCCCCACATTTGTCAGCACCTAGAGGTGCCTGAATACCTTTACAAAATTGGGCGGGAGTGTTGTTGAAGCTGTGATGGTCCAGGCATAAACCCAAGGGCACTTTTTGCCTCAAAACTTGCCCAACATCTCTCCCAACTCTACAGCTGGTTCCGGAAAAGACATCACAAAAAAGCCTCTCCTTTAAAAAAACTGGACACAAGTCCTTAACTGACTCATACATTCTAGTGTTTTTTTGAGTGAAAACAGTTTCACATGGATGTATTAATTAAGAAACTTATAGTTGTATAAACAACATGTATGAAAAACAGCAAATGCGTAATAGCAAATGGGGCACACAATTTAAGTCTGTTTGGTTCCAATCTATGAAACCACAATGGACACCGCTGCTTCTCTATTTGACATAATGAAAAATAAATATCTGTGTGTACACTACTGCCCAGGAACGATGCACTACGAACCACAGATGCCCAAACGCCAGGCCTAGATAGATTAGATAGCAAATGCCAATATATCTCCAGTGTCCAGGAGGGACTGTGATATATTCTAAAAGAGGTAGTTAGAATATATTATTTGTTTTTTTGTATAATTTTTATTTTTCAAGCTATTAAGTTATAAATCCAGCTGGCATGTTCTCAGAATAACATAGCCTGGAAATCTCACTGGTCAGTTATTTGGGTCTCCAAGTCTAGGTAATTTCACGGGAAGCTTAACATAACAGGAACGATAGAATTCTACACACACCAATTTTTGCTGCTATGAATACACAACGCAAAATTACAAGTACCTAGATTATAATTTTTTTAATGTTCTTTCCTTATAAATTATGCTTACCTGCAGCTGCTTCAGAACTGATACCTTCTTTACCTGCACTAACTGAACTAGGAGGCAAAACATCATCATCAAAACTAATCAGATCTCCTTCCTCATCTGGTTTACTTTGCAAAGTAGGTGCTGGGACACTGGTTGCAGACAACTCTCCCACAGACTGAAAGGCTTTTGCTTGGGTATGTACAGAGATTCTGGGAACAGCAGAAACTGGTTTTAGTAAGGCTGAAGAAGAGTCAGGATTTTCTAAATAAAGTGACTTTTTAGGAACAAGTGGCCTTGGAGCAGGAACTGGGAATTTCTTCTGTCCATCATTCTCTGAAGCTGACCCAGTCCTTGCATGAAGCAAATCATTACTAGTACTCGTTACAAGGCTGGGCTTTGGTTTCTTTGGCAATTCAGGTTTGGTTATGACACTGCTCCCACTTTCTTGAGGCTGAGGGTGCAACTCCCTGGAGAAAGGTTTTGGTTTCCTTTCAGTCCACGAATCCCACTCTCCTGAAACCCTGTTTGCCCCTGGCTTTGGAGCCACTACTGGCTTCTTTGCAGCTACTGTAGGTCTGTGAGGAAAACACCTTGGGGCAATTTCTGGCTTTTTGGATAATCCTGAGGTATCAGTATTTGTTTGGGATTCAAAAACTTTGATTCTTGAAACAATACTATTTTGGCTTCTTTCTGTATTCATGCTGTCCAGCACCACGTGATTGTTCAAGCTATCATCCAAGAGAGACAGTTGCTGATCTGGGGAGACCTCCCTTTCAGCTCTAGGTTTGTTCACTCCTTCCCGATTGTCTTGTGCTTCACCTTGAATAGCTTTGACTATAGGTTTGAGATTGCCTTTAGATCTTGGTTTTGGCACTGGACGTATCACAGTAGTTGGATTTTTTTGGCAATTCTGTTCTTCAGATGCTTCAAGGACAATTAGAGGAGTCTCATTTTCTGAAGGATTACTATTCAAGAAAGATGAGGAAGGTCTGGGAGGCTTGAGAGGACTTTGCACTGCTGACAGAAAAGAAATAAAGTTTTCATGCTGTATTCTAATACATCTTAAAACATGCATTTAAGATACCTAATTTGGCCTGGCTAACTATTCTGGCTGCAAGGCCCCTAAGTGGTTTTGCTCAGAAATCTTTGTTGCTTGTATTACATTTGTGATTCTTCCTTATAAACAGGACAAAAATACCCTGCAAAAGGGAACTACTCACTTCTAAAAATGCATGAATCTGAAAGTTATGAATCCAAAATTACTTTGTTAAGGTTCATTTCAACAGACATAAAGAACCTTCAGAAGTCAAAATACATACAC